AAATGGATTATACGTACAGCATAAATATAATTTAGAACCATAAAACGCCTAAAAATACAAAATAAGAAATAAAAAACATTATTAAATTAAAATATAGGCCATATATGTGTTTGGTCATAAAACTGGCCATTTTTGAGAGATTAAGACTGGTTAAAATATACATTTTTAGCAATATCATGGTACAAATTATGATGTCAAATACTACAATAGTACTTCGCTGGCAATTAGACACGTTACCGCAGTACAACGATAGAAGGTTAAGTACCAATAGGAAGTCTTTGCCTTAGTACATGTTAGCACACACTCCCTGATGATTTGTTTACTGATATAAGCCAGAGTCGTCCAGTGCAGAGAACTTAACGCGTCGGCTATCAGCGCACAGTGTGGGAGTTGAAATCATGGGTGTGTGGGAGACGGCCAGTGTGTGTGTGATGGGGGCGGGTGGGTGGGTGGGTGGAAGAAAGAGAGCGAGAGAAAGAGGGGCTAGACGGTGGGGTTTCTGCTGCAGGCAGAGGCGCACTAATGACTGAGAGACAGTGGGAAGAGCAGTGTGTGTGTGTGGGCGGTCTGGTACAAAAACGCACCGAAACCCTTTCCTCTGGAACAGCCAAGACCAGCTGTTGATCGATCCTTTCTATCGCTGGCTGTGCAAAGAACATAATATTACAGTTTTCAGAGGCGTTGAAGAAAACAGCCGCAAATATATAGAGGTCAACAGAACGAGGAAAAAAAAAACATTAAAAGACAGATCAAACGATGCAAACGCTGGAATTTATGGTTGCGGCGCACTCTAGTGGTGAAATGGGTTTGGTGTTTTAATTACAAGGTGAAATACTAAAAAAAAAAAAAAAAGAGCTACTTAAAAGCACTTAATAATGTTGGGTTAAAAATAAGCCAACGAGTAACCCAGCTATGGGGTGGTATAGCACCTTCCACAACTTCAGGGTTATTTTAACCCAATGCATTGTGTTAAACGTAACTGAACAGTTGGGTTAACTATTTATCATATTTATCTTAATAAATAAAATACAAGATTGTTAATTTCGTATAAAACAAATGTCTCAACTAAATATATTTTTAAATTACAACTTGAATATTGGGGGGAGTCTAGAATTTAATGCAAATATCAATAATTGTGTAACATAATTGTGTACATAAGTGTACATGCAACGTGTAACCCAACAGCTGGGTTATTACTAGAAATTACGCAACATTTTTTGGGAAACAAACCAACATAGTGACCCAATGCCTTGCCTTATTTTTAAAAAAATACTTCCCTTGATCTGAGCGGTACAAGACTTGGCTAAGTTTGCCTCCTGAACACACACAATTCTACAATGTTACGTGGGTGAAAAAAAACACTCCTTAATCTTGTATTTGGGTCAAAAATGTGCACCCATAGAAATGAATGGGAAAAACTGTAATTTAGAGAATTCTAAAATAAGCCAAAATAAGACACCAGGTGACAGCAAAGTCACTTCATCTTTAGGTTTTAGCTTATTGATGAAGAACTTATTGGAATGATATTTTAATGTAGTTTAAAAAAAATAATAATAAAACTACATCGTAATTAATTTACATAGAAATAATTTACATGGAAAATATGGTACTTTTTGAAGTAAATAAATTCAAAAATACCCCCAAAATCAGTGGTGGAGGAAGTACTGAATCTCAGTACTTAAGTAAAAGTACAAATACCCAGATAAATATTTACTTTAGTAAAAGTAGAAGCAACACAATGACAACCATACTTAAGTAAAAAGTAAAAAGTACTTTATTTTAAATGTACTTTAAGTATTAAAAGTAAAAGTACTTGCATAACAATTTATTATCTTAATGTCTATTTTCTAATGATTAATAAAACATTTAATTCTAACTCATTCAACCTAATAGCCTACTCCTATAATGATGTTCAATAATGATGGAAAAAAATGTCACCATTTCTGAAACAAGCTTGCAATTAGGCAATATCATGCTTATCCTTACTATATGTTAATAACTATGTTTGGCAGTACACGCGATTCATTAATGGTGTAATTCTGAACCTCTTGGCTTGCCATATAACCAAACCAAACATATATTACACACGGTGTGTTTCCTATGCACGTAAAAACTAATTTTCGCGTATGAGTTGCATGATAAACGCACTGCGTGTGAGACGCATTTAGTGTGACCGGGTTGATATACTGTATCTATGGCAACCAAACGTCACTGGTGAGACAAACGTGGAACGAACGGACGGTCAGATTACGTTTTGGCAGGGGAAAAACTGATCAGAAATTCTATATCACTGATGTAGAGATGTAGTGGAGTAGAAAGTATAATAATTGCTGCAAAATGTAACAAAGTAAAAGTAAAAAGTATGCACTATTTATTTTACTTAAGTAAAGTAAAGATACGTGAAAAATGTACTTAAGTAAAGTAACGAAGTATTTGTACTTCGTTACATTCCACCACTGCCCAAAATAAATAAAAAAACACTGTAAATGGATAGACAAAACTTTATCGAAGACAGTGATATAACATTTATAATAAATAAAAATTAGGATCACACCTGTGCCCACATATGTCCACAATTACAGGATTAAGGGCTATAACGTGAATACGGTTTGAGGGCTACGGTGTACTAAAAATTACCCAACATTTTTTGGAGAACAACCCAACATAGTAACCCAATGTGATTTTTTTAAGGTGCACTAGAAATAACCCAACCTAGTGACCCAATGGTTTTTTTAAGGTGTACTAGAAATAACCCAACATTTTTTAGAGAACAACCCAACGTGATTTTTTTAAAGGTGTACTAGAAATAACCCAATCCAACCTAGTGACCCAATGTTTTTTTTAAGGTGTACTAGAAATAACCCAACCTAGTGACCCAATGGTTTTTTTTAAGGTGTACAAGAAATAACCCAACATTTTTTAGAGAACAACCCAACATAGTGACCCAATGTTTTTTTAAGGTGTACTAGAAATAACCCAACCTAGTGACCCAATGTGTTTTTAAGGTGTACTAGAAATAACCCAACCTAGTGACCCAATGTTTTTGATTTTTTTAAAGGTGTACTACAAATAACCCAACATTTTTTGGAATAACCCAACCTAGTGACCCAAATGTTTCCAACATTTTTTGGAGAACAACCCAACATAGTAACCCAATGTGATTTTTTAAGGTGCACTAGAAATAACCCAACCTAGTGACCCAATGGTTTTTTTAAGGTGTACTAGAAATAACCCAACATTTTTTAGAGAACAACCCAACGTGATTTTTTTAAAGGTGTACTAGAAATAACCCAATTCAACCTAGTGACCCAATGTTTTTTTTAAGGTGTACTAGAAATAACCCAACCTAGTGACCCAATGGTTTTTTTAAGGTGTACAAGAAATAACCCAACATTTTTTAGAGAACAACCCAACATAGTGACCCAATGTGATTTTTTTTTTAAAAGGTGTACTAGAAATAACCCAACCCAACCTAGTGACCCAATGGATTTTTTTTAAGGTGTACTAGAAATAACCCAACCTAGTGACCCAATGTTTTTGATTTTTTTAAAGGTGTACTACAAATAACCCAACATTTTTTGGAATAACCCAACCTAGTGACCCAAATGTTTCCAACATTTTTTGGAGAACCCAACGTTTTTTGTTTTTTTTAGGTGTACTAGAAATTACCCAACATTTTTTGGCGAACAACCCAACATAGTGACCCAATGTGGGTTTTTTTTTTTTTTTTTAAAGGTGTACACAAGGTTTGCATTAGAATTGATTTAGGCTTCAAAATTTCTTTTGAAAGTGTTTTCAGAGGAATATAATTTCTGAAGAAATTAGTTGTGGGTAATGAGTTCAAAAGACATGCATGCACAATATATTAGTGATGGATAAGTGATCGATACACAAGTACTGTATGCAACACGGTTTCTTGTACAATATTGCAGTGCCTTAGTTTCACAGCATTCTAGTTTCACAATGACAATTCTTTGAATTATTCATATCTGCAACATCTGATTCCTTCATATGTATACACAGCTGAATAATTCATCAGGCTTAGGTTGAACGTCACAGGTATCCTGTAGATCGTGTATCAGACAGATATTATAAAACTGAGTTTTATCTCCAAATACTGATAATGAAAATGTTCCTGGTGTTACAGCCATTTAATGAAAGTACAAACCAAACAAGTCACCGGAGTCGTCTTTGGCACGACATTAAGCAAAGTCTTGTTTCCTTTAACATAATGAGTACAACTTCAAAAACCTGTGGAACTCAAACACTTCTTCATGGTAAATTTATTCAGACATACATATATAATTAGCAGTAAATAAGCTCTGCTGTGGTGTTTTATAGCAAACTAACACAGTGAACGCTGGATAACTCTCCTGAGGTAAACGCAACATTACGTGATATTGTTCTCAAGCTGTTTTTTTGACGTCTTTCCGTGGTTGAAACACACATTGAACGATTACATGAGACATGATACAGATTTCAGTAGGATTTACTGTATCGTTCAACATACCTTCTGATGTTCATGTGTTTTTCTAGATATAACTCGTATTAAAGTGGAAGAAAAGACTACAGCGATCGAACGCCACATTTAAGAGCGTCAAAACGCCATTTATTGTGTGAATTTCTTGATAAAATGTACAGAATTTAAAAGCTGATACTTTGTTTCTTATCAGAAATTACTTTGTGATGATTGGACAGTAGACACACACTACAATAATGTCTGATGTGGGAAAAGTGCAGATCTGGCAACCCTGGCTGTAACTACAGAGGGTCAAAAAGCCTGCATTAACTTTGCCATTTTATAACTTTTAAAGCGTTATTGTCAACTTGCTCTAAATTCAATGTTTTTCACACAGTACGAGTTGCAGTTTGACATGTTTTTTATAATCATTAACAGACCCACAATGGCACAATGTAATATGTAAAACATTTATTGAATAATGCATACAAAAACAAACAAAAAAAAAGAAATCAAAATAATGAGACACTTTTGGCATGCGCCTTCCTCTTTTAGCCCTTCAAAAGTCCTCGTACAATGAAGAATTTCCCCCCCGGAAACAAATTTGATTCATATTTCACAATTTAAGGCTCAATTTCTACTCACATTTCTGTACTTTGATGGCAGTTCAAATAGCAATTTCTTTTACTTTACAGTAGATCGGATTGACAATTTCGTATCAAAGCACATTGTATCCGCTACATTAGTCACAGCCCTGTCTAATAAAACCTGAAAAGATCAAGGAAATGACTTTCCTCATGAAAACAGTGTTTGTAACTAACAGAAGCTAACTTATAATTCACAGATGTGGAGTGTGGAGGAAAACGATTTCCATTCACGTCACACGAAGTAAAAAAACTTAACAAAAAGATCGATTTTATTAGCTCAGAGGCCAAGTAGCAAATGTACACAAATACAACTTTACTTGAGCTCAATTTCACTAAATTTTGACACCACGAGCGTCCCAATGAGGCAATTCGTTCTCACAGAACCTTTAGAAGAACCCTAGAAAGTAAACACGAAGATTACGACACCCCCATTAAAATAACCTTAAAACGAAAGAAATCTTAAAAATGTTTCCCAAGTCAATTGTTTTTGTACACACTGCACTGAATATATATTCACAAGTAAGACAATTAATCTAAATATTTTAAAAGCACGTAAAGATACCTTGTGCACTAGGGTTTGAAAAATCCTGAGGACAAACCTATCAAAAATATACGATTATAGCTAAAAATCAAACTATTGTCCGCATCCCCCAAACAACTCCGATCCGTTCGTTGTGAATTTCATATAAAAATACTCGCTGCATGCATAATTGTCCGAGAAACATTTGAATCAAAAGTTTTAAAACTTCAAAACGCGACAGAACCGACAGGGTGGATGCAGATTTACTCGCTGGATTCGTGAGCTTCAGTTCATCTGGAGTGTCTCGAGAAGTTGAGCAAAGCAAGCAAGAAACAAGGCAAAGTCGACCAAGTCAAATTGGTTCCATTCGTCGTCCATTTCTTTGGTAAATCTGCGTTTTTGTTGTCAATTTAAAACATTGATCACATGATCAAATCAACACTACATTCAAATGATGTTGTGAACATACATTTTCTGTACGCCCACTACACAACATTCGCACTATAGGCTTGAAAAGTGTCTTAATCACCGATTTAAACATACATAATACTATGTAAAGCACGAATCAAAACACATAACAATAAGATATAATGAAGATAAATGGTGGGAGTAAGCATTTAGAAGTCAACGAAGCAATTTGATTTAGTTTCCACCCTGTTCGTCTGCTTGGCGAAGCAAAAAAACAAACAAACAAGATTGACAGCTGTCAGTTATGAGCTATAGTGCACTACAGGACATGAGCTCACCATCATAATCAAAACCCCATTCATGAGTGACGAGAACACGTGATTCGTAGACATGAATATGCAGATTCCTTACACTAATACTACTTTCTAATTTCAGGTCGTTCTCCACTATTCGTGTGTGTTGTCTTAAGATTGACTGGCTTTACAAATGAGGTCCGTAGAAATAAAGGATCGAGGGAGGGGTGTTATGAACTCATGATCGAAGAATACAAAAAGTAGTGGCTCTACAAAAAAAGACTGACTCGTGGGAAGGTAAATACTAAAGGTGCTCCATCACATGACGGCACATTCTCTGGATCGGGGTTTTGGATCGCCCTGAAAATAAGAGCAAATTCAGCAAAGGTTATTACATTAAATCTACCGTATATCATATTTGAAACTAATTTCATTTCTAATAAATGATCAAAACACAATCTACCGCTGATTGGTGGTTTAGACTCTTATCAAGTAAAAGTCTTTTAGTGTAATTGCACAAACGTCCTCAAAATATCAAGTGAATGTAATATCTTTGATGTTGTTCTCAATCCTCATTGCATTACATGGTTTTAAGCCCCCTTGAGGAGAAAATACAGCCTTTTATTTTGTTTATGTGGTGTTTAAGACAAACCATGTGTAAATTCACAAAAAAAAAAAAAAAAGTATTTCCTCCTTAAAACAAAAGACAGTCTCAAAACACTTTTTGAGTGGTGTTTCTGACGTCACAGACGACCTTGTAACCAATCAGATCAACGTGTGATCGTCAACCAGTGGATCTCTGAGTGAGTGGAGGCGCATATTTGCATATTCATAGAACCGCGCATACTAAATGAGGCGAGGTACACAAGCTACTTTAAGGCGAAAGGAAAAACGTTTAAGAATGCATTTTTGGTGATCAAAGGGAGACTTTAATACCACAATCAAACTAAGCATTTAAATTAGAGCCCGACCGATAAAGGATTTTGAAGGCCGAGACCGATACAAATATTTTTGGGTTTTAAAATCCGATATATCGGCCGATATTTTTTATTTATTAAATATTGTTGGATCACACACACGTGTAAAAGAAAAGCTAACTTTCCTGCACAAGATACGTTTGATACTTTTTCTCTGTGTCTAAATGTTCACTCATCGCAAGTATAACTTACATTTTACAATGCAGGGACTGTAATTAGAGATATGCGAGTTATAAATACAGTAATCATTACTTTATTTAGGCAGAAAAAGTTCATTGTGGTTTCCAAGCTCATAAATGTTAACGTTAGCGCTCTTCCACTGATGATAGTGGCGTTAGCTAGCCTGTTTAGCAATAGATGACATAATACTGCAAATTGTAAAACATACATTTTCAATGTAACAGGCCAAGGAGAGATGATTGAAGCGCGTTTCGTCCGTTTTTATTTTATTTTTTTAATATTCATTTATCTGCCTTTTATAACTGCCGATTCCAATATTATGGAAAATGTCTAATATCGGCCAGCCGATATATCGGTTTGGCTTTAATTTAAATATCATCTTACCAAGACAAATTATTGGCAGATATTGATATTTACATGATAAGATTTTATTTTATTTATGCTATTTTGCTCAGTTTGAGTCTCTGAATAAATTTGAGGGTTTTCTTTCCTCCATATTCTCACTACATAAGCCATTAAAGCCTGATGTATCAAATATGGTACTCAACTTTATTTTAACTATTTTGCCTAGTTTAAAAAAATAAATAAAAAAAACGTCCTTCTGTTTACAGTTTGTGACTATTACCTGCTGATGGAAAAGATCCTCATCTCCAAAGTCTCCATCCTCATCATCACCGTTCTCCATCTCCAGTACGCTTTTCGTGACGGTTCGCTTCGCCACCTCCTGCAAATAAAAGTTTCGTTATCGCATTGGCACGCAACAACAGCAAAGGCCGAACCAGGCGGGTGTTCCTCATACCTCTCCGCTTGAGTTGACCAATGTGGTGATGATCACCTCTCCGGTTCCCCAAGAGCTCTGGCTCTTCCACAGCAGGTCTGAAGGAGGACTATGGGACACGCCGGCGGTGGCGCTCCACACCTTTCACAGAACCAACAGATTAACAACTAGAAAACATCCCGAGTTGGAGCAAAAGTGAGATTTACCGTCACTTACCGTCACCGTCTGACCGGCCTTCAGGACAAACTTAGGGCTGAATTTGTAAGTGATTTCCTCTTCATCGCCAATTTGTCTCTTTAGTCGCCAGCTTCCCAGAGATTGATCCTAAATTTAAGATAAAATTATGAAATACGAGTCATTTTATTTAACCCCTTTAGTGTGACCCCCCCCCTTTTTTGAATATACATGAAAATGCACATTTCGAACTTAAATGGTCGTAATTCAAGAATGCTTTGGAATATAGACGTAAGATTGGTCTCGTTTTAAAGAAGACATTTGGCAGATTTTTGTAGAAGTGAAATAAATTAAGAATGTGAAACAGAAAAAAAAGGTATAGAAGTTTGAGTTTATAAAAATGTACAATATAAAAAAAATATTTTTCATATTTTATATAAAATATATATTTTCAAAAACTGGGCGACTCTAAAACTGAAAAAAAAAAAATCTGAATAAGTTGTGTTTCAAATTTTAGGTTGATATCTCTAAAAATGAGCTTTCAGTGAGATTTTGTTTGGGGCGCCGTACCAAACTTTTTCACTAGATGACACCCAGACTCCATTACTGCCCATATAAGGGCGCCTTCATTTCCATATGAAATAATAATTATTATAATTATAAAATAATTGAATGGAGGCTTTCTTTTGAACTCTTGGCATGAAAACAAACATCCTTCAGGATTTTTCATGTTCATCACAATTTCAAAATAAAGGTCTAAACACGCCTTAGAGTATGAAAATATTCTTGTTGCAAATTGTTAAATTACGGCTCCTCTGTAATATATTTTGAAAATCAATCACCAAATATGAAAACTAGAGATTCTAAGCTTTCAAATGATATATAGTTTGTCAAGATTAGTTTAGGTTTAGTATAGGATAATACTGTTTTAAAAATGTAATGGATTTGTGACACTTAAGGGGTTAAGCAAGACACCACAGGTGAACACGATTCATAATCAATGTGAAAAAAGTACATGTTTTGTATAACAAGTTTTCTGAAATATTGTTTAAATATGCAAGTGAGGTATCATCAACACTTTCAGACTCAAACTTCTTGTTTCAATGAACGGAGTTTTGGATTTGTCTTTTTATCACTCAGTATCAAAAACACAGATATTTGCAGGGGGTTTTACCATGTTTTGAGGAATAAAAGCATGCTAATGATAAAACCATGCTAATGATATATGAAGAAACCCCAGCAGTAAAAACCTCCATAATATAGACAGGAATAAAACTGATGCATTTAAGAGCTGCTGAAGGGGAGAATAAAGTAAATAAATAAAGTGCAATAAAATAAACACTTAACCCCCTCTGGTGCTCTTTGGTCATTTATGACAGAAAAACTTAACTTTTTTTTTACTAGGTTAGAAGAAATGTTCATACAATTAAATGAAACAAAGAAGAAAAAAAGTGCCACGTGTTCAGGTTCAAAACGAGCACATTGAAAATGATTGGGAAACAGATTTCATCTAGTGGAAGTGTTTGGTACTGCACGCTAACAAAATCTTACAGAAAAATCTACTCATCTCAGATTTATGGCTTTGATTTGGAAAATATACGTTTCATTTAAAAATGGCAAAAATTACTTGTGTATTATTTTTCATAATGATGTGAAAAAACTATTTTTATTTTTCACCTCAGCAATAATCTGCCAAGTGAAAAAGAAAAAAGAAATGGCAGGACTTTCAAGGACTTTAAGCACTACTTTTTTGGTAGAGAATTATCGAACAAGATTTAAGGATTTGTAAAACTCAAATTACAAAATACAACTCGACGGCATTTATTTTCCAAACTCGCAGTACCTTGTCCGAGTTGTTCCTGAGGGTCACGGATTTGCCCTCGAGGTCGATGTCCTCGACACTGACGCTCCCCGTGGCTTCGGCCGCCTGGCTGACCTGGACCGTCGGGCCAGCGCTGGACTCTTCCTCGAGCTCCACACGCTTTCTCTTAGCGCGAGAGCTTCGTGAAGACGCAGAAGTGCTGCTGGCTGAGGTGCGGGTCACCGTGACCCGGGAGGACGGGGTGGGCGACAGCTTCAGCCTAGAGACGGGACACACAGACGGATTACGCATCCCAAATCAACAGGAACATGTGTATGATAACAAAGCGAGGCCCGTTCACACCAACAACGATGATGATAGTCTGTTTATTATTATATTAATAATAATAAGCATGAGCTGTCGTTTTGTTCCCTACTGATACTTTAAAATTAAATTTCAGGACTACTTTCTCACCCTAAAGATTATTAAAACTACATTAGTTATTGTTCTTGGTGCAAACGGACCATAAGAACGATGAATGGGCAACCGCACCATGAAAACACAATGTTTATGCGACTGCGCTTACCTTTCCTTCCTATCATCTGTCCTCCAAATCTCTCAACTGCAGACTATCCTGAACTCGTCTCAATCTGCGAGATGGTCTAGCTGCCTTCTGGGCTCCTCGTCTTCATGCTAAATGAGCTCTCGGACGTATTTTTTGACAACTCGCTCTTATCGCATCGCTCACGGACGAGCGGGAATCGCAATTATCATTCCGGCGTGACATTTTACAACCTACCTGACTCATTCCAGAACCTCAAGTATGTCAAGAATGCGGCGAAAAAAATGTGAAGTGGAGCGTTCCTGAACATGTTCTGGGCCTCAGATGACAGAGGATAATAATCAGCTGCGAGAAACCAGTGTAAAACACTCAAATCTAACTAAATGTATGAGTGTGTTACAAAACCGAGTGAGCTTCCTACTTTGACAGTGTTTTCGGGAAGCACAAGCTTCAATCTCAGTCCTGTTCTTCTTACCTAGTATATTTGTTGTCTAGTTTTCCATTAAAACAGTACCGATAATGTACAATGAAATCCAGTATATTTTCAGCACAGTCCATTTTAATAATTCAAGCACTTTTCCTCTTCATAAATGTCTGTTCTCAAAGCTTTTCCAGGACTTCAATTATTTCAAAAAGTCAAGTACGCACCTTGTAGTGAGCAAACCAACAGCTAAAAGGCCCTAAAAATGATGTCTAGGTTGGCATTCACGTCATTTTTCGGTTGATTGAATGATTAGAAAAATCCTCAAATGTTTTCCTTAAAAAATTTCTTTTCGACTGAAGACAGACAGACATCACTAGGACAGTTCCTTTATGTTTTCAAGTGTAAAACAGGATAAGAAACGTGCCTGATGCCTAAAACTCATCCTCAATTGATGACATTTTTAGCCATAGGTGTGTTTGGATGCATTTCAAGGCCTAGTAAGCAAATTCAAACACCTAAAGACCCTGAAATAGCAGCCTAGGTTGGCATTCCTGTCATTCTTCAGTGATTATTGGTTGTTGGAGTGTGTTCGCTCACCTGTCCTCCTCGCCCTCCAGCAGTTTCCGATAGGCGTTGATCTCCATGTCCAGGGCCAGCTTGACGTCCAGCAGCTCCTGGTACTCGTTGAGCTGCTGCTGCATTATCTCCCTCATCTCAGCCATCTCGCGCTCTTTGGCGTCCAGCTGTCGCCTGAACTTGTCCCTGTCGCTGGACAGCATGTTCTCCAGCTCACGGATGCGCTCCTCAGCGGTTGCCGCCTGCAGGGGGTAGATTACGGATGCACGGATATTAAGAATTTGGACAATACCGGTAATTAATTACATTTGAGAGCCGATTACCGATAATTCCTTATATTTGAAAGCCGATATTTCCTTAAAGAATTATCGATTATCCGCTTTCAAATATAAAGAATTATCAGTTACAATTCCTTATATTTGAAAGCCGATAATTATTTAAATTTGAAAGCCGATAACCGATAATTATTTATATTTGAAAGGCGATAACTATTTATATTAGAAAGCCAATGACCGATAATTCCTTATATTTGAAAGCCGATAACGATAATTCCTTATATTTGAAAGCCAAGAACCGATAATTATTTATATTTGAAAGCCGATAACTATTTATATTTGAAAGCCGATTGCGATAATTCCTTATATTTGAAAACCAGTTACGATAATTTCTTAAATTTGAAAGCCGATAATTACTTAAAGAATTATCGATTATCCGCTTTCAAATATAAAAAAAATTATCAGTTACAATTCCTTATGTTTAAAGGCCGATAACGATAATTCCTTATATTTGAAAGCCGATAATTATTTATATTTGAAAGCCAATAACCGATAACTATTTATATTTGAAAGGCGATAACCGATAATTCCTTATATGTGAAAGCCGATGATTATCCGCTTTCAAATATAAAGAATTATTAGTTACAATTCTTTATGTTTGAAAGCCGCTAACGATAATTCCTTATATTTGAAAGCCGATAACTATTTATATTTCAAAGCCGATAACCGATAATTCCGATTACCGATTACGATAATTTCTCATATTTGAAAGCCGATTGCGATAATTCCTTATATTTGAAAGCTGATAAATGATAATTCCTTATATTTGAATATTCCTTATAGCCGTATATATCATGGAATAATAATGTGCTTTTACAGTAAAACACTTGTACAGTTTTGGGACGTGAACCGTAATTTGACACCCACAGAATATGATGTCTTTATCTAAATTAGTTTTTTGTTATCAGTGGTGACCCTTAAGGTTTTATGTTACATATGTTGTTAAATGAATGTTATTGCATTTTTTTATTATCATCTGTCACAATGATACTATATCTTAGCATTTACCTCAGTTTCTCTGAAAAGCTACTCGATGAACTTTGATTCATAACGTGACTTACTTTAATACCACATGAGTTAAGACGGTTGTCAGTATTACAAATATATTTAATGTACACATTTTTTTTCCTGGTAAACTTAATGCTGCTACTTTATTTTTAACAGCAGCAATATAATATATAATTTAAACAATAATAGTCAATTAAAAAAAATTAAAAATCAAGTTATAAAACCAAGATTAGATATATAAATGTGAACAATAATAAAATTAGTATAAAATATTAATATAAAAATAAGAGCAACAACTTCTAAAAATATAAATTATAATATTACATTTAGTGGACTACCGATACTGTTGTTTTGATGGCTGATATCTTAGAAAGCAGGGTGGCCGATTTTTATATACACCACTAATTATATTATATATATCCATTCAAGCCCATGTGTAGGTACCTGTTTCTGCAGGGCGCTGAGCTGATAGCTCAGGCTCTCGATGCGCACATGGGCCTCCTGAAGCTCCTCACGCGCGGCGAGAACCGCTTTATCATTCATGTCCGACGACACCTTGGCATTATCCAGCTGCAGAGAGAGCAATCAGTCAGAAAGCAGACCACGGCTCCACAAGCTATGGGGTGCACTGGGTCAAGGTTCTTTATTATGTCACACACACACACATATACACAGTGAAATGATTTTCCTCCTAGTTTCGCATCCTCCAACACTAAAGTATTAACAATAAGATAAAGAGAAAAATAAACCAATAAAGTCCAGGGTCACATGTAAAGCCCGGAGTGGTGTTCCTGACCTTGGCAATGAAGGTGTGCTGGAGCTCCTCCTTGTAGAGCTGCACCTGCTCCTCATGTTGTCTGCGCAGATCCTGCAGCGCCTGCGCCAGCTTGAACTCGTAGTCCTGCTGCATGCCCGAGTCCACCTCCACCACACGCTTCTCCTGGCGCCTGCGCGTCTCACGCACCTCCTGCACACACACACACACACACACACAGCTGTTAGAACTTCACATACCTCCACCACACACTTCTCCTGACGCCCACACACACAGCTGTTATTGCTTCACACACCACAAATTAAGATTTTCTGGACTCTGATTTAATGGTTAAATTAAAAGTTAATTATTAAAAAAAAAAAAAAAAAAAAATCAAGTTAAAAAAAAAAACTCTACAATTTTTTCTAGTTATCGAAAAAATAAATGTCGAATTAATTGCAATCGTGAAACTTATTCAGTTTAACAACACTTTTCCTTTTTTTAACACTTTAATTTTTGTGTGGTCAATGGCCATGAAACAATTTAACAACAATTTATTTAAAAAAAAAAAAAAAAAAAAAAACATTTAGGGCCCAATACATTTTTATTTTGTGCAACAACAAATTAAAACACGATTATTCCAAGTCTGATTATTCCAGAAACGCTTTATAATAAGGTTCATTAGTCAACATTAAGGTCTTAAAGGGATACTCCACTTTTTTTGGAAATAGGCTCATTTTACAACTCCCCCAGAGTTTAACAGTTGGGTTTTACCATTTTCGAATCCATTCGGCCGATTTTCTGATATCTAGAAGAATATCAGTAACCAGACAGTTTCTGGTCTCATTGACTTCCATAGTAGCATAGTAGCACAGTTCCAAAAAAAGTGGAGTATCCCTTTAACTAACATAGGGTAAAGAAACACACACCGTCGCCCAGCCTCTCGTGAACCTAGTGTCGGAGCTGCATGAACCCCATACACACCGTTTGACCATTTTAAACTTATAATGACAAGAAAAGAACGAATGAAAACGGACTAACTGCAATGCATTTCAATGGACGTGGGAGCAGAGAACGTCTGAGTGTATTGGGTTAGCTGCACTGTGATTGGCTCATCGCACTTGAGGGCGTGGCTTAGCCATAGGTCAATAATAATATATTTCTGTCTGACATTTCAAGTTAAACAAGACTAGAGCCCGACCGATAAAGGATTTTGAAGGCCGATACCGATACAAATATTTTAAAATCCGATATATCGGCCGATATTTTTTTTTTTATTAAATATTGTTGGATTTCACACACGTGTAAAAGAAAAGCTAAATTTCCTCACAAGATACGTTTGATACTTTTTCTCTATGTCTAAATGTTCACTCCTCGCAAGTATAACTTACATTTTACAATGCAGGGACTGTAACTAGAGATATGCTAGTTATAAATACAGTAATAATTAGTTTATTTAGACAGAAAAAGTTCATTGTGGTTTCCAAGCTCATAAATGTTAACGTTAGCGCTCTTCCACTGATGATAGTGGCGTTAGCTAGCTTTGTGGTTAGCTAGTCTAAGATTAGCAATAGATAACGTCATACTGCAAATTGTAAAACATACATTTTCAATATAACAGGCCAAGGAGAGATGATTGAAGCGTGTTTCGTCCGTTTTTATTTTATTTTTTAAATATTAATTTATCGGCCATTATAACTGCCGATACCGATATTATGGAAAATGCCTAATATCGGCCGATATATCGGTCTGGCTCTAAACAAGACTAATTTTGGTGGGTTGCAGCGAATAGCTGAGTTTGTGTGTGTGTGTGTGTGTGTGTATCAACCGATGAGTTTTCTCAGATGAAATGTTGAAATGGAGGTTTGCGTTTACACAGGCCTCCTGTCTCTGATGCTGTGGTAATTAAGTATTCAGTCATTGAGCCAAATTGGTTATTAATGGGTCGCTCCAGTGATTGGTCATGTGATAATTGTATATGCCTGATGAAGGTCATGAGACTGAAACGTTAGTGTGTGGGATTTCCTTGTTCCTCTGACCCGGCTGGTTCGGTCTATTCCCGCAGGTGTGCGATGGGGACCGCTAGTGCACACACTGACCTCCTCAAACATGCTCTTCCTGAACTCCAGGTCCTCGGACAGACTCTGGCAGCGGTTCTCCAGGTCCACCCTCATCAGCGTCTCCTTCTCCAGCTGTTTCTTGGCCACACCGTGAGCATCTTCAGCCTGCAACACACACACACACACACACACGCCTGTGTTAGACTGAGGTGTGGAGGAACAGACTTTGGCTTGCTTAGTTGGGTACATTTAATTGAATATTCAACAATGTTATTGATCAGCCGGACAATGACATCAGAGCGGCTTTATTTGTGACCTGGGACCACAAAACTAGTCACATGGGTCATTTTTCTAAAACTGAGATGTATACATCATCTGAAAGCTGAATAAATAAGCTTTCCATTGATGGTTTGTTAGGACAGGACAGTATTTGGTCGAGATACCTATTGAACATCTGGAATCTTATAAATGAACTAAACTTTTTTTTTTAAACAAAAATTAAACATCACCGAACTTAATTAAGCTGGACTGTGACGCTATTTTCTTCCGGAAACGAACTTTGTTGCATTATTTTCCCATTATCGCCGGTATATTTTAAAGCCGATTACGATAATTCCTTATATTTGAAAGCTGCTAAATGAGAATTCCTTATATTCGAAAGCCGATTACGATAATTCCTTATATTCGAAAGCCGATTATCGATAATTCTTTATATTTGAAAGCCGATAACTGACATATTGGCTGATAAATATAAATCAAAAATGTTAAATAATTTTGAAAGACAGATTATAAAAACAAAAGCATCACCATTAAAATCCATGTCCCAAAACACATGGATTTATATTTATATTTGAAAGCCGGTAACCGATAATTCCTTATATTTGAAAGCCGATAATTATTAGGGCCCAAGCCCTGAAAGGGCGAAGGCCCTATTGTTTTCCTTGGGATTATTTTTCTTCACTATTATTATTATAATAATTATTATTTTACTACCTTTTGGGCACTTTTGGGGCCCTTAACGTGCTCGAAAACTCTTGAAACTTTGCACACGGGTCAGAACCCGCGGCCATCAGAGCCGGGCTGAAGATGGTACCCGGGCGTGGCAGGGCAGCTCGTCAGCGCCCCCTGGAACGGGGTCCGAACACTTGGTCCATAACTCAAACACGCTTGTATGTAATAATATGAAACTCGGTACACACGTTGATCTCATCGTTTCATCTATACCTCGCGCTCTTACTTTTTACCCCAGCCCAACAGGAATTTGGCTATTGAGGTTTGTTTGTAAAACGCTCGCAATGGAATGTCAAATACTCCTCCTAGAGCTTTGATCCACATTCGACGAAACTCGGTCAGCGTGAAGTCAAGACATTGAGGATGAAAGTTTGCGAGGGGATTTTTTATATCTCGAACGGTTTGTCCGTGGCGAGGAAACGAAATCATGGCGAGAAACGTGAAACAGGAAGTGTGTTATAACTTCAGCATACATTAACTGATCTTGATGAAACTTCAGCAGTGTGTTCGCTGTAAGAGGACGATCACATGGATGTGACTATTGTGAGTCAAAGTTATAGCGCCACCAACTGGCAGCAGGAAGTGTGTCACTTTCAAAATGCTTAGATATCACCCTTTTATTTTTACCCGATTTGCTTCAAACTTCATATGTATAATGTAAACATACGGCAGATGTAGACCTGTGAATGGATTCTTGATATCTTTGAAACTGTTGCCGTGGCGACGCATCAAACTTTACCCTTCTTTTAGGATGCTTTTAGGATGCTTTTGAGACCCTTAGCATGCTTCAAATTGCATGAAACTCGACAGACACATCACATTTATTAGCCAGTAGACATGTGCAAAGTTGCAGAAACGGGCGTGGTGAGGGCTCAGTAGCGCCACCTTTTGACAAAAGTGGGGTGGTTAGTTTTAACTAGAGTTACAAAAATTGGTATGTATATTGTACTCCTCGAGCCGGACAACTTTCTAATTGACACTTATTAGCTAGGACCCACAGAAAGTCAGATATTTTTGTTTGAATATGGCCACTCTGAGCCTTTGGCTGGCTGGCTGGCTGTCTGTGTGTGTGTGTGTGTGTGTGTGTGTGTGCAGGGGGAGGGGGCTTAACCATTTCACTGCTGTGTGTATGACCTGCATAAAGAAAATACATTTCTCAAGCCTGGTATTTTTTAAATAAGTTTTTATTTTTATTTTTTATAAGTAAAGGCATATAACTAGTTTAATTGTAGTGAATTGACAATAGTTTTATATAATTAGTTTATTAATCAGATTAACTTGGTCAATAAACTTGGTCTGAAAATTTGGTCCATAAATCAAACACACTTGCATGTAATAATATGAAACTTGGTACACATATAGATCTCATCGTTTCATGTATACTTCACACTCTTACTTTTTACCCCAGCCCAACAGGAAGTTGGCTATTTAGGGTTGTGTTTAAAACACATGCAATGTAATTTAAATTATTGCTCCTAGAGCACTGAACCAAATTCGACGAAACTCGATCAGCGTGAAGTCAAGACATTAAGGATGAAAAAGTGCCACGGGATTTTTGATATCTCGAACGGTTTGGCCGTGGCGAGGAAACGAAATTATGGCGAGAAACATGGAACAGGATGTGTGTTATAACTTCAGCATACATTAACTGATCTTGATGAAACTTCAGCAGTGTTTTCGCTGTAAGAGACCGATCACATGGATGTGACTATTGTGAGTCAAAGTTATAGCGCCACCAACTGGCAGCAGGAAGTGTGTCACTTTCAAAATGCCGTGGCAACGAAACAAACTTTAACATTATTTTTTGATGCTTTTGGGACTCTTAGCTTGCTTGAAATTGCTTGAAACTCAACAGATACATCACATTTATTAGCCAATAGACATGTGCAACTATGGCAAAAGATTAAAGTAATGTCAAAAAAGTAAACACTAAAAGCCTCATATCTTCTAAAAATGTAATTATACATCATTTGTTTCTAAATTAAATTATACAAATATTATAACTTCCCCAATTTTTCCTTTTTTTTCATTTAAGAATTGTGTTTACGTTCAAAAACAGCCAGAATTGTTGTAAAATTCATAAAAAAATAATAATCTGAGTCATACGTAGTGCTATACTGCCCTCTTGTGTTCAATATCAGGTAGGCCTATTGTGTATATTCCCACCGGTTAATCAACGTGTGACTCCGCTGGGACTTGGGAGCTTTTAAATCGCTTACTTAAAACCGAAAGTCAAAATACGGATGTCCGCACAAGACATTAATGGTGTGGAGTAGAGCGAGCATTTTAAATAAATTCCTATTAAGTAGGATTGAACTAAACAGAAAGAATGTTCACTCTGTTCTGCTGGTTCCTCGCTGGTGGATCATATGATTACTTTGTCATAATCTATGACAAAAATGCTATTATAAACCATATTAATAATAGATAATACACATTGCTCTTATTTTTGAAAAATACATTCATGAAAAACAAGATAACAAAAATCATTAAAAAAAAATATAGCCATGGCTGCTATAAAGCAACATATAATTGAAAGGCAATTAATAATCTGTCATTACGTCACTGCATTATGATATTACGGCTCCAATACGGTGCAGCACAAAGCACTTATGTGCATCCCGAGCGGAGAATGATGTGCTTGAAGCCACATGAAGTTACAGCGCATTGAGTCCGTATTGAAAAGTTCAAAGCACAAAGGAAATACATATTTATGAACAGTGTATTATACATTATCTATCTATGCAATAGTTTATTGAGCCTTTTCTTTTAAAGGTTTTAAATTTCAGTTACTGTGTGCGTGAAGAACAATTATAGTGCTCTGACTCTAGTGTTGTGATCTAACCGACAGCGTCCGACACCCGGTAGAAAGTAACACGATTAAGTTACAGCAATAAAGTCCAGCAAGAAAAAGTTTCTTCATTCGAAAATATAGACCTTTAGACCTTTATCTTAAAGATCCAGTATAATAGGATTAACATTGAATCATTGAAGATCGTTTCATCATTGACTGTAACCGAATGTGACGTGCTGTTTGAATGCTGAATGGAGAATGACTGACAGGCGCAGAGAGGGAAAAGTTTGTGTTCTTGAATTTAATGACTTAAATATTAATTTCTATATCACATAATAGCTTCAGAACACTAATAATACAGTACACAAAAACTTTATGGTACTTTAGAAAGTTTTTGTGCCTTTGTGCCTAACAGAATAGTATATGCACAATATAGAATTTGAATCAGCCTCGTCAAAGATGGCAGTGTCAGAGCCGATACCGATCCTGAGTATCTAATCGGCGCACTTCTTTTCAACAGTCAAATTGAAATTGAAATTGCTTGAAACTCAACAGATACATCACATTTATTAGCCAGTAGACGTGCAAAGTTTCAGAAACGGGCAATGTGCAAGGACTAAATAGCGCCACCTTTTGACAAAAGTGGGGTTGTTAGTTTTATCTACAGTTACAAAAATCGGTATATACATTGTACTCCTCAAGCCGGACAACTTTCTAATACATAGTCATTAGCTCGGACCAAGAGGAAGTCAGATATTTTGGTTTGAATATGGTGAGCCTCTCTCTGAGCCTACGTCCCTGTATGGCAAGCCCTTTTAACATTTAAAAGCTAAGTTTGCCTGTCCGGAATTAACATTGTAGATATCAACAACGTCTTTCTGTCTATTCGTAATTACATTTTGGATAGTTTGTATTATCATTTAAGACATCTGTAACATAATTGTGACTAGTCGAAATGACAGAGTATGGCAAGCCGTTTTAACATTTAATCATAAAAGGGCCAAAGCCTTCGGCACCGCTACCCGGGTGCCTTTAGGTAACTAAAGGAACCGGGGTTGCGGTGCCACCGGCTTGGGCCCGCCATCGCTGCTCGCAGCTATATTTTATATTTGAAAGTCGATAACCGATAATTATTTATATTTGAAAGCCGATAACTATTTATCTTTGAAATCCAATAACCGATAATTCCTTATATTTGAAAGCCGATAACCGATAATTATTAGGGCCCAAGCCCTGAAAGGGCGAAGGCCCTATTGTTTTCCTTGGGATTATTATTCTTCTTCAGTATTATTATTATTTTGCTACCTTTTGGGCACTTTTGGGGCCCTTAACGTGCTCGAAAACTCTTGAAACTTTGCACACGGGTCAGAACCCGCGGCCATCAGAGCCGGGCTGAAGCTGGTACCCGGGCGTGGTAGGGCGGCTCGTCAGCGCCCCCTGGAACGGGGTCCGAACACTTGGTCCATAACTCAAACACGCTTGTATGTAATAATATGAAACTCGGTACACATGTTGATCTCATCGTTTCATCTATACCTCGCGCTCTTACTTTTTACCCCAGCCCAACAGGAAGTCGGCTATTGAGGTTTGTTTGTAAAACGCTCGCAATGGAATGTCATATACTCCTCCTAGAGCTTTGATCCAAATTCGACGAAACTCGGTCAGCGTGAAGTCAAGACATTGAGGATGAAAGTTTGCGAGGGGATTTTTTATATCTCGAACGGTTTGTCCGTGGCGAGGAAACGAAATCATGGCGAGAAACGTGAAACAGGAAGTGTGTTATAACTTCAGCATACATTAACTGATCTTGATGAAACTTCAGCAGTGTGTTCGCTGTAAGAGGACGATCACATGGATGTGACTATTGTGAGTCAAAGTTATAGCGCCACCAACTGGCAGCAGGAAGTGTGTCACTTTCAAAATGCTTTGATATCACCCTTTTATTTTTACCCGATTTGCTTCAAACTTCATCTGTATAATGTAAACATAGGGCAGATGTAGACCTGTGAATGGATTCTTGATATCTTTGAAACTTTTGCCGTGGCAACGCATCAAACTTTACCATTCTTTTAGGATGCTTTTGAGACTCTTAGCATGCTTTAAATTGCATGAAACTCGACAGACACATCACATTTATTAGCCAGTAGACATGTGCAAAGTTTCAGAAACGGGCGTGGTGAGGGCTCAGTAGCGCCACCTTTTGACAAAAGTGGGGTTGTTAGTTTTATCTACAGTTACAAAAATCGGTATGTATATTGTACTCCTCGAGCCGGACAACTTTCTAATTGACACTCATTAGCTAGGACCCACAGAAAGTCAGATATGTTTGTTTGAATGTAGAGAAAATCTCAGAATTTTGCCAGTGTCTCAGTGTCCCTCTGTGTGAGTGAGAGGAGGGGCGCCTGTCAGGTTAATTTTAACCCTTTATTTGCTGTGTGCGACTTCTCTGGCATTTTCGGGGGCCTTAACATCCTCGAAAACTCTTGAAACTTTGCACACGGGTCAGAACCCATGGCAATCAGGGCCGGGCTGAAGCTGGTAACCGGGCGTGGCAGGGTGGCTCGACAGCGCCCCCTGGACTGGGATTCGAACATTTGTCCATAAATCAAACACACTTGCATGAATTAATATGAAACTCGGTACAATTATAGATCACATCAGGCCAAACAACTTTCGTGCTCTAAGTTTTATTACAGTTCAAATGGAAGTTATTTATGAATTATGAATTATGGGTTGTTTGAATAATTGTCCTAGGAGAAATACATCAAATTACAACGCATGTGTTTACCAATCACAACCAAACTCGGTGTGCATGAAGTCAAGACATTGAGGATGCTCAATTCCGGACGGATTTTTGATATCTCGAACGGTCTGGCCGTGGCGAGGAAATGAATTTTATGACTAAAAAAGGACACATAAAGTGTGTTATAACTTTGCTCATTTTACCTACAGTTACAAAACTTGCCACGTATATTGTTCTCGTCAAGCCGATCAACTTTCCAATTTAAAGTCATTCGCTCTGAGCAACAGAAAGTCAGATATTGTAGTTTGAATGGATTTAATTCCCCTGCGATTCTCTCTCTCTCTCTCTCTCTCTCTCTCTGTGTGTGTGTGTGTGTGGGTGTGTGTGTCTGTGTGGGGAGGGGAGGGCTGTTGTCTGTGTTTATGTGTGTGTGTGTGTGGCTGGCTGCGATTTTTCCTACAAGTCCTTGTCTCTAAGTCCTTGTCTTTTTGCATAACAATTTTGCATAACAATATTTTTAAATGACAAAATAGGCATATAACCCCCATCTTTTAAATGTATAGATTGCTTTAAATAAAAGTAAGATTGTATTTGTAATTGAAGTTGAATGAATTTAAAATTCATGTGCTATATTTCAATATATTTGTTTTCCTTAAGATTTTAAAACACTAACTTCATTCTTATCTGAATTACAAATATTTGTTTCTGTATAAAATAATACTCTGACTAAAAACACATTTGATGTTTTTTTTTTGGTATTTTTATTTACATGTATTTATGTGTGTGTGTTTGTGTGTGTATAAAGTGCAGGGTTTTTTTTAGATAAAGTAGAATTTCTATAACTATGTGTTGAACTAATAAATCACTCTTGTGTGTGTTAAACACAATCTACTTAATACAGACAACTTCATTATAAAGATAAATAACAAATCCAAAAAATATATGATTATAATCTATGACAAAAAAAGCCATTACAAACTATATTATTGGAAAATACACATTGCTCTTTGTATTGTTGTAAAATATTCATGAAAAACAAGATAACAAAAATCAAAAAGATAAATTATTTTAGATATAGCCATGTTTTAAATGTATAGCAGAGATGTTAATTGAGACAGCAACATACAAACTTTCTAGAACAACATGGACCTGGATAGCTGGTTTTTATGGAGGACAGTGAAGAGGAAGAGGGTGCAAATCAAACAGCTCATTCTCAGACTACACAGCAAACAGCTTAAGTTTTTAGTGCTTTGTTTGAGGTTTTTAGTGCTCTGTCCTATCTATTATCAACATATAATAGATGGAACAGAACAAGAAAGGCAATTAATAATCTGTCATTGCGTCACTGCATTATGATATGAAAGGCTCAGTACAGTGTGGCACAAAACGCTTATGCGCATCCCGAGTGGAGAATGATGCGCTTAAAGCCACATGGAGTTACAGCGCACAGCGCATCGAGTCCGCATTGATGCAAGCTCTACAATACACTTCTTTTTGATAGTCAAAGCGGGGGTTACGTTTTTACACGTCGTACAGAATAACCCTAAAGGCACCAAGGTGGCGGTGCCACCGGCTTTATATTAAATATAAATATAGCTGTGAGCAGCGATAAAGGGCCAAAGCCGGCGGTACCACCATCCCGGTGCCTTTGGGTAACTAAAGGCATCGGGGTTGCGGTGCCACCGGCTTGGGCCCGCAATCGCTGCTCGCAGCTATATTTTATATTTGAAAGCCGATAACCGATAATTATTTATATTTGAAAGCCGATAACCGATAATTATTTATATTTGAAAGCCGATAACTATTTATATTTTAAAGCCGATACGATAATTCCTTACATTTGAAAGCTAATAAATGAGAATTCCTTATATTTGAAAGCCGATAACCGATAACTCTTTATATTTGAAAGCCGATAACTGACATATTGGCTGATAAATATAAATCAAAAATGTTAAATAACTTTGAGAGACTGATTATAAAAACAAAAGCATCACCATTAAAATTCATGTCCCAAACACACAATTATAATGTTCTCATTAAATGCAATTAAAAAAATTAAAATCAAGTTATAAAACCGAGATTAGACATATAAATGTGAGCGATAATCAAATTAGTATAAAATATTAATATAAAAATAAGAGCAACAATAAAATTAGTATAAAATATTAATATAAAAATAAGAGCAACAACTTCTAAAAATATAAATTATAATATTACATTTAGTGGTCTACCGATACTGTTTTTTTGATGGCTGAGATCTTAGAAAGCAGGGTGGCCGATTTTTCTATACACCACTAATTATATTATATTATAAAAAAAAATTATAAAATTATAAAAAATTATAAAAATTAAACATCACCGAACTTAATTAAGCTGGACTGTGACGCTATTTTCTTCCGGAAACAAACTTTGCTGCATTATTTTCCCATTATCTCTGTAAATCTGCTTTGAAACACTCAGTGTTGTAAAAGACGCTGTATAAATAAATGAGCTTGACGTACTTTGGCTAGCTGAGCCTTCAGGTCGGCGAGTTCGGCAGACAGCGAGCCGTTCTCGCGCAGCGCGGTGTTGAGAGACGCCTCGGTCTTGTTGAACTGCGCTTCCAGATCCTTAATCCGGGCCAGAGCCGCAGCCAGATCCCCATCCTTCTTCTTGTAGCTGGAAAACAGATTCAGTCAGTATACAGTAGGGCTGCACGATTAAATCGATGTGGCTTATCGTGATTTTGAAATCGCTACGGCTGTGATTATTTCGTATGTGCAGCTTGTCAGAGAAGCACGGCTCTGTAAACGCCGCTCCGTCTGAAAGCACTGTGAGTTTAAAACACTTACAACGTCCATTTGAACAAGCAACACGCGAGCATAAAATAATCAGATTCATCTTCTACAACTGAATTTGCAGCTTAATATCAATATTAATTTCAGTTTTAATGCAATTTTTATTGCAAGTTAAAGAAAACGTGTGATAAAGATGCCATGTTTTATTAGTTGATCTCACTGACTTCAATTCAAAGTGTATAAACTTCGAGTCTTAACTTTATTCAAATATTCAACAATGAATAATAAATACGATAAAAGAAAACTTAAATAATGTGTGTGCAATAATAAAAGTTACACAATTAATTTGAAAATAAGAGCAATGACAAAAACTAAATTGTAATGATATACAAAAACAATTAACCAATATAAATAATAGTTGTCTATTATTATTATTATGATAATAATTACCAATTTAATTGAATGCAAATTTATAAAACGCAACTTATATCAATGTGAGCAATAATAAAAACTATATAAATAGTATTACAAACGAAATTATTACCGTCATTAAGAACCGAACATTAAAATCCAAAAATCACAATATTAATGTGATTTCACTTCGTTTCTACAAGCCTATTTGAGTGAATCAAACATTTAAACGCTTTATAAATCATTTATAAATCACATATAGGTTTGCTAACGTTCATATATCTCCGAATAAACTGTAGATTAAACCAGTGAAATCTGCGTGACAGATGTAGGTTTGCATCACGGCGCGAGTCTCTTGTGTGGTTTAGAGCAGCCGCCCGCAATCGGGCACATAGCAACAGACACTTCCTGTTTACATGTGTTCGTTAGCAACCAGATCAAGCTAAAATTATGCCAACCACAGACTCCTGAGGGTCACATTACACAAACTTACATCTCAAGCTAAGATCTGACAAGTTCGTTTAGGATTTTCCACTAATTTGTATGACAGAAGCAAACGTTAAGTTGATTTAGGATTCTTATCCCATCTTACAAAATTTCATCGCATCTGTAGAGGAAATCCATCGAGTTCGGTGATCAACTCTCAGGTCTGTTACCGAGCAACCAACGAATAAAAAACTCTTTATTTTAGGTACATTAAACAACTCTAGATTTCAAACGCATACACTAAATAGACAGGATTTTGATGTCTTTATCGAACATGCTCAGGTTACTTTATATTTAAGATACACACACGTATAGTCTCACAGCATCAGCTGTAACATGCAGAGAGTTGGCTTTCGGGTGATCGATCAATAAATGTGTTTTTAAACATTTTTAATACAATTAATCGATAAATCTGGGGGTTTTTTTGCCCAGCGCCACTCATTACCGACACACTCGGGTCTGCAAAGCTCAACTCCGTACTTTAACGTAACGGAAATATTCGGATGTTTTTATAGGAATCTGAGAATAAGAAATAATCATGTTTATCAATCTAATATACTACTATACGCTCTTGTAAAAATATTCTTAAATCTCAATGTGCTTTTTTTTTCCTGGTAAAATTGTTGTTAATGGATCAACCATATTAAAAAAAAATTTAAAAAAAACATGATTACCTGAAAAACACTTTTTTTTGTCCAGCCCTACTTTCAAATACTTACACACACACATAGATTATGCACTTCAGAAATGTCATTTTGTAATAGCTTTTGTCCTAAATGATAAGATTCCTAAGTTGGGATATTTCTGATGAAAAGGAGACCGTCTTCTGCTCGTTTATCCGAACGAACAGATGGAAACGGCTTTAAGTCGAGTTAAATAAGCCCAACTTAAGTTTAAAGACGACCTCTGACCTCACAGGTGATTAAAAGCGGGGGATAAGGGACTCGATTCCAGTTAAAAGACATTTCTGAGGAACACTTACTTCCGGGTGACCTCCTCGAGATCGGAGTTGGCTTTTCCCAGGTCGATCTGAAGTCTGGCTCGTTCGCGAGCGGTTTCGTCCAGGACGCGGCGAGCGTCGGCGAGCTCGGCCTCGTAAAGAGACTTAATCCCAGACACCTAAAGCACAGAACCAACACAAACCCAACAGATTTACACGTCTCCGAGACACGCAGAGATTAGAATTAAGCGCGACTGGGCGGATTTAGGATGCTTTAAGTCTCACATTTAAACCAAATTTAGCTAAATAATAGTAAACAAACTCAGTTTAAGTTGGAAATTTGGAGCGTGCATGTATGCCGAAATGTTTTTATATGACTGTGTGTAACATTAAAGATTACAGCTATTCAGGATTTAACAAGACATGAAGAGATATTTCACCCAAAAATTAAATACTTTTTCCCCCTCATATTTTTGGAAGTCAATGGTATCCAAAAGTGATTGGCTGAAAACAATCTTCAAAAGAGCTTAATTTCCAAGAAATATTTACATGTGTTTGAAGTGAAGTGATCCTTTAAATCAATAAGCTGCTATTATCAGACATCATTTGTCCGTAAATCCACTTAGAAATACAGAGTGTGTATGGCGAAATGTTTTTATAGGATTGGGTGTGTGATATTAAAGATTAAAACTATTCAGGATTCAACAAGCCTTGAATATTAAAAAACAAAAAGTGAATCGTTTTTTAATCCCCAAACTGTGGAAGTCAATGGTGCCCAAAAATGTTTGGCTACAAAAAGAGCTTAATTTTAAAGAATTTTGTACAGGTATTTATCAACTTAAGGGTGAATAAATGACAAGTGTGGTCATTTTTAAGGGTGAACTAATACTTTAAATAAAAAAATTACTGTTATCAGACATTATTTGTCAGTAAAACCACTTGGAAAGTTGGAAATACAACCGAAAAGTTTCTATAGGATCGTGTATGATTATCAGACTATTTCTTTAGGCATGTTTGATGTGTGAGGGCTTCAGTTTAATGTGGTCAACATTCAAAACAAAGGGAGCAGATGGAAAGGGGGACCAGATTCAAATTTGAAAAGAGCCTTTGGCCACTCCCCAAACAAAAAAAGTTTGAGGAAAACGCCCAAAGATATTCAGGACATACATTCACAAAGCACAAGTCATACTTGGAAAAGTTTTACATTTCCTAGTTTTAACACATAAACGCACAACTAAACGTCTGGCACGTGCTTACATAATGCACATTATACAAATTGAAACCATGCGGACACAATTTAACGGCCACTCCCTGAATGCATTTCACTTTGCCTTTACGTTCAACGCATTTTTATATAACCTAACGTTAGATTAGACGTGCTTTAATATAAGCTAAAGGCTATTATAAATGCACATGGTTGAGAAGCGAGTAAAAACGCTCGACTTCCTCGCGCGACTTTTAAAATGTTTATCGCGGTCACATGTGGAAGCTTTAAACATCAAGAACAACATAAAACGCTTGAAATGTTAACTAAAAAAATGATTTAGAATATAAACATGGTAATAAACGTAAATAAAAGACATAAAAAACAAGATTTATGGCAACACCGCGTATACACGTGAAATTGACGCTAGCGGGCAGATTTATCGAAGGTAAATCAGCACAAAGGAAGGGTTTTGCACCTCTCTGGTCGTGACTTCCTCCTTCTCGGACACTTTGACGAGCAGCCGGTCGTTCTCGAGCTCCAAAGACCGTACGCGGTCGATGTACACGGCCAGGCGGTCGTTGAGCGCGCTCAGCTCCTGTTTCTCCTGAAGACGCGAGATCCGTGTCGGGCTCAGGGGCGTCTGCGCGGCCGACGCGCGGCCAGACTCGCGGCTCGGGGTTGCGGTCGCCATATTCACGCTACGGACCCACTTTACCTCGAATAAACACTCCTTTTAGTGTTCCACTTCGGTCCGGTGTGTGAGCAGCGGCCTCTGACTCGTACTCGGGACGGTTTTCCGGGTGCGTTTGGAAGTTTTTGTTTGTGGAGTTTTTTGAATGAAACCGTGTGTTTGTAGTCCGAGTGCTGGTTGGCTGTCTGTGAAACGGAGGTGTGAAAAGAAAATGGCCGCCGCTAACGTAAAACCGCGCCAAAAATCCGTCGAAGTGCTCATGGGATTTGTAGTCTTTTTAATATTTGATTTATTTATTATTATTTAAAAAGCCATTAACGAGAAGGATACAATGAGACGTATTCATTCGAAGTAAAATATAATAAAATAGAACAAAATTATAATAGACAAAAGGAAAAGGGCGCCACTTTATACAACATCATATGTTATTTATATAACAGTTAGACGATCTCTAATTGCCTTCTTTCTTGTGTAATTACACAATTATTTTTTTAAATAAAAAATAGTTTTGTTTTCAGACCATTTCATTTTATGAATGTGAAAATGTCCCATAAATATTAACAATTGTATGAAGTATGTCTTTTTGTCTTTATCATTTTGATCAATTCCATGATCATGTATTATTATTATCAAATCTACTCAGCTAAAAATCAGTAAAAAAGGATTTGTAGTCTGAAATCCAACAAAAGCCCCAAGAAACGAGGGAGAAATATTATTGTACATGTATCGTGTGTATATTGAAGCACATTAGTTCATATATATGTTTGCTATTATTTAAATTACTATGATGCTAAAAATATACAGCTAAATAGTATAAATGTAATGAAATCAGAACATTAACAAACATGCGTCATTTATTTGTAGTTTCCTATGGAAATGTAGAATGAAAATGCAATGATGTAATTTGGTTGTTTTATTAATTTTACTGAATCGAATCATTCTGGGTTTATAAAAAAACCAAACATTAAAAATAATAACTCTCCAATCAACCAGCTGTTTATATTTATCACATCATCTATGAACGCCCCGAACCCCGCTAACTCTTCTCTTTTCGTCGCGTGTGAAAGTTCAACTTCCGCCTAGCAGCGGTCCTTCCGGTTTGGACGCCATTAGCAAAAAGCAGGTATGAATCGCCGGAGAATCGCAAGCATTAAAATCACATTTATATCTAATACATCTTACCTCAAATCATTACAAAATGACACGCGTTTGTAAATATAAACCATCTAAGGTGACTTTCAGTGATTATTGTGAACAATTAGCGCGATGTTTGTGTGTTTTGAAGGGTTTCACTCAGAGTAGATGCGGTGAAGCTCTCGGGAGTTTATTCTCAAACACTGTCGTTATAAAGCTTCAAACAAACCCAAAACGTTTTTAAAATGTTAACATTATTCCCCTTCATCATGAAATGGTGTTTTTTTAATGACTAAGCTCTTGTATAGATCACTAATAGCACACATGAGGCTCATGTTTTCATGTGTAACGTATGTGTGTATTTAATGACATTTGTTCTCCTCAGAGATGGCTATTAGGTATCCCATGGCAGTTGGCCTTAATAAAGGCCATCCAGTGACCAAAAACGTGTCGAAGCCCAAGCACAGCCGCAGGAGAGGGGTGAGTGAGTCCTGTTTCACTGTTTTGGGTGGTTAAAATCAGCATTTAACCTGTTAACTGCCAGCGTCACAGTAGCGCACTTTATTAACGTCACATTTTAATTCGAAAACTAAACGGTCAAAATTCTTACCGTGAAACCGTTTTATACGTTACTTTTGCGCACTCAATTTTTTAGATATCAAACTTAAATTTAGATGTACGTTTTTGATTTGTATAGGGATTTTAGTCCAAATTTGGTGGTTAAATGACAATTCCCATCATGCACTGCTGTATACACCATATTATACCAGTATAATTGTTTAATCTAGCAATTGTTGTTTTTTCAGCATCTGACCAAGCACACTAAGTTTGTGCGCGACATGATCCGCGAGGTGTGTGGTTTCGCGCCCTACGAGAGGCGCGCTATGGAGCTGCTGAAGGTGTCCAAGGACAAACGTGCCCTCAAGTTCATCAAGAAAAGGGTATGTTGAGTCGCGCTCTGTGTTTCTGGAAAATTAGGTTTGAGTCTAGTTTTCCTCATTGTGTGTGTGTGTGTGCAGGTGGGAACTCACATCCGAGCCAAGAGAAAGCGTGAGGAGCTCAGCAACATCCTGGCCGCGATGAGGAAAGCCGCTGCCAAGAAGGAGTAGCCTGAATTATGATGAATAAATTTGTATGTGTAAAAACAAACATTTGGCTTGTACTTCATTTGAACGCGTCCCTCGTTCTGCTCGACTGGAGGAACTCGTGTGTGTGGATCATATCAGTGTGAATGTGCCTGTGTTTCACTTGATTCGCCAAATTATTAGGTATACCAATGAATTAAGCACTTTAGAACTAATTTATAAGTATTTTCATTTCTGTTCTTTGTAATGAAACTGAATGGGTTAACTAAATTACACTAATGAAACTCGTTTGTCATGCGGTTAAAAGGATTTTAAATAAAGTTGCTGTTTTGTAGAATTAAAATACCAATTTTAACTGTAATATTGAATAACACTGGTAAATACAAATACGTTTTAAATCAAAACTACACTCATGAGAAAGAAAATTAAAAAATTATGACGTGATAAGTCTTGAGAAATGTCATAATTTTGACTTGGTATGTAATTCGTTTCTCAAATACGACTTTCATGGCATAACTTCTGTCAGATGAGATGGAAAAGTTCAAATTATGACAAGAAAGTAATTACAAACTGAGTCTTGGCATGTCATACAGTGTGATTTGATAATTGATTTTAAATATTTGACTTTATTTAATATTACATTTAAAATTGAAATATTTTTAGAAATTAATAATTACCACATTAATTTCTGAGAGTGAAAAAATTACACTTTTCTTTGAAATCAAATGAAAAGTTGAATTTGACAAGTTTGTCCTGACAGTCAAAATTATGGAAAAAGATGAATTTTTAATAACTTTTCACCCATTTCAATATATTTGTAACGTGAAAATTAAGTACAATTAAAATATATCAACTTTAAATAACACTGGTTGAAAGAATCATGCTTTTGTAAATCTCAAAATCATGAGAAATAAATGAATAATTATGAGTTATAATTTTTCAACACTCATGACTAAGTGTGTCATAATTATAAATGATCTCATATGACTTGGTGGGTTTAATTTTGATTTCCAAAAGCATACTTTTTTAATCCGAGTATATTAAATATTACATTTTTATCTTATAATTTCAACTGTCATAAATGAGGCCAAGTCATCGTTTTCAGACGAAATTAACAAATTAAAATTCGGAAAAATGAAATCGTAATTAACAAACCGTGTTTTTCATCAATTTTAATAAATTCGCACATCCCTAAATAAAAACTAAGACACAAGCTGTTGCATAATTTATATATTTATTGTAAATGATTGCGGTTATTATTTACAAATATGACATGAGATTATGAGTATAAAATCTTCAGTAGAGTAGCAGCAGCAGAGTCAGGATCATGACGATCTGTGTCCCATGATGCAACAGTCCCTCATGGGGAATAACTCACCCTGCTCGTGTGCGTGTGTGTGTGTGTGTGAGCGTCAGAGTCCCGAGAACACGAGCGGGAAGATCTGGCTGTAGTTCTCCACGAAGTGCACTTCCAGTCCCTCGGTGATGTAGTCGGCCAGATCCGAGAAGTCCTTCCTGTTCTCGGCCGGCAGGATGATGCAGGTGACGCCCGCTCTCTTCGCCTGACAACACACACCACACACACTGAGGACACGTACAAATACACTACTGTATATATATCTGGATCATCACAATCATCCTTAATTACAATAATCATTTATGTCTTGTCTATAGAAATGTGTGATATTGTGATCGAACGTCCTTAAATTAAAAGTGATTTACTTATAAGGCAGTTAACCCCAGTAACACACACACTCACAGCGATGGTCTTCTCCTTGATGCCGCCCACCGGCAGGATCTTCCCGGTCAGAGACACCTCTCCGGTCATGGCCAGGTTCTGTCGGGCCGGGGCGTCGAGAGCCAGAGACAGCAGAGCTGTGACGATGGTGACGCCCGCGCTCGGCCCGTCTTTAGGAGTCGCTCCCTGAACACACACACACACACACAAGGCACGTTTTCATTACAGATTTGCGCAAAACTTTTGCAATATTTTCCAAATTAAAAAAAAAAACTATTGCGAAATGACGGTGTTTCCATTAACCGATGTTATGCGACTAAAACGTCTTTTTTTTTCCTCTCGCGATAAGTCGTTCCAAAAATCATGACAACGGACGTTGGTAGGTTTATAACCTATTTCACAGCCATGCACCGCACTAGACATTATTATTATTATTATTATTAATGGACGGAGACGTGGTGTGTTATCCAAGCATTAATGGCAGGGAAAGACACAGAGTTCCTGGTGTTTCCCCCTTATTTCTGCTGGCATTTCTTTGAGGTTTAAATTGGCTATTCCTGTAACTATTGTTTTTTTTTAATTTAATAAAGAACTCTATCTCGTATTATGTCCAAACGGCCGTTGCGAAACGAAAAACGAACGGTTGTTGTATTTTTAAAACGCAAAGTTGAACACCATCATTTTGGTTTGACCACACCAATGCTGCGCTATCTCAACGAAATTTCAGATATTTGTTTGACTTTTTGCCCCCTTTAAAACATTTAAAATATTCACACACAAAAAAATGTAGATTTTACTGGTTTTCTAAGGCCAAATTAGAACATGGATAGCCTATTATTAAATTATTAAAATTATTATTATTTTTATTAAAGGCTAAAAATTAAATTAGCCTATTATTAAAAGCATTATTAAAAAATAAAAATGCATTATTTATGATATTTTTTCCCGCAGTGCTGTAGGCTATAGGCGAGTTATTATAAATGCGTCTGAAAAAATAACGAGCTAAAAACAATCTCCGGATGCACCTTTAGAGAGAACGGCACCTTTCATACGGATTACATAATCAGAAGGTATTAGCTTACGATTCGAATGTTTTCTTTTTAAAGTGGACATTTCAAGCTTTAGTCTATAAAGGCTATTGTTTCACTTCTCGAAGTTATGTTATGTTACAAAAGCACAACGGTTTCTTGTTATTGTGACATTATGCAAATAAAAGTAGTTGCAAATAATGTATTATTATTTTCCTTATAA